CACCTCAGATCTGGCTACGGCTACTTCAGATCTGGCTACGGCCACCTCGGATCTGGCTATTTCGAGTTCATCGGCCAAGCTTGCCTTATCAGAAGTGGCCAAATCCAACCGATGTTGAAGCTCCTTAATCTTATCGATCTGCACCGAGGCATTTTCTTTTGCAGCCCGAAGTTGGGCCTCGGCCAACTCCAATTGCGCTTGAACGGCCTACTTTTTTTAGGCGAGCATGTCTATATTCTTTTTGAATTTTTCTGCCTCATCCAGTAGCTCATCTACCTGCGAATTGAGTTGTCTCATCTGTTCGAGCCTCTGCCGAACCTATAGAATTGGATCGTTAGTGGTTATCTCTAACTCATCTTCACTATCATGAAGAATTCGGAATACCTGCTCAGCCATCTCCTCCTGCTCATCCCGAGCCGTTGCCAAATTTTCCAGAAGCTTCTTACTAAGAAGTTTGTAGGAGTCACTCTTCTCAGTGAGGTTCCGAACTTCAACCTTATGCTACTCCCGGATTGGGAGGAAAGCCTCGTGATGCAACACCAAAGCCTACAAACATGGAAAAAGATGTTAGAATTATCTACAACTCTAAGTGTAAAAGAATCAACAGAGATAACATCGAAGTTACCCGATTCAGAGCATGTTGGGCCTCGTTGAAAAGGCAAGTGGGTCCTACTGCATTCATCACGGTTTTATCCTCTTTGGTCACCAAGGATCGAAGGTAACTAGCAATCCCCACGAGGGAAGAGAAAACTCGGGCATCCTCAGGGGCGGAGAGTACCATTTTTCACCTGCGATCGGGATTAACACTCGGGGCCGGGAATCGGTCCACTAATTTTGGGCTCGATGAAGATCCGACAGCACCCAACCATGATGTTGTCTTCGGTACCGGTAATCCACCGAACCTAGTAATATCCTCCAAAGTAACGGACTCGAGCCCATCCAAAAAGCCATGGATATCAGTCAACTCCTGAATACCCCCGTAAGATCGACCTTCCAACATGTTGGCCTCACGGATCATAGCATCCGAAAACTGAGAGGATCTAGTAATATCGATTATCTCGAGCTCGTCCCTCGAAATATCTTCTGCTGCTCGAGAAGTCTTTGACGGAATAGTCTCGGCTTTTTCTTGTTAAGGAATTATGGCCAGGGCTCCCTTATCTACCTCCGTCGATTCGGAGGATTGTTGTATCACAACATTAGCCCGTACACAGGCTAATTCCTCTTCTCCTTCTTCAGGCCCATCCCTTAATCGGCGGAGCGAGTCCGGGGGCATGATACCAGAACCCCCTTGGGCTTGTGAGATTTCTTTGTCGGTTTTTTCTTTTTCGAGACCGGGGAACTCGGAGCATCTTTTCTCTTCTTCTCTTTAACCTGCTTCGGGGCGGGGACCTCTTCATCACCAGATGGGGATCTCATGGCAACGTTCTTCCCTAAGTCCTACAAAGGAAAAAATGGGGTAAGAAAGTGAAAAAGATCAAACTATAAACAAACTAAGAAAGAGACTTATCATGACTGTAGGTATCCCATCAACCCTTTGATAGTTCCATCCAAGCGCGCTCGGAGTACGGGATCTGTAGCACCAGACCTTCAATCCATTGTTTAAGTTCCAGAATCGGTTCCGGCATCCGAGCCATAGCTGTAACAAGAAAGAAATAATGGATCAAGAAAATGAAAGGCAGAGTCACAAATTAAACGCTCGAAGGGAAACAGTACCCACGGTTCATATTATATTTCTCATGAAACGGCATGTCATCGGCAGGGATCAGGTCCGAGGTTTTGACTCGAACAAATCGGCCCATCTAACCTCGATCACGAGTCTCGTCTATACTCGAGAACGACACTTTGGTGGCTCGGCGAGCAAGCTTGATTAACCCTCCTCGATAGAATCGGGAACTATAAATGCACATAAGATGATCGAGGGTGAAAAGACACCCCTCGATTTTGCTTGAGAAGAATCGGACGAGAATCAATATTCTCCAAAACGAAGGGTGGATCTAGCCAAGGGTCATGTCGTATATTTTGCAAAAGGCGATGATGATAGAGTCTAATGGACCCATCGTGAAAGGATAAGTATAAACGCTTAAGAACCCTTCCACGTGGGTAGTAATTGATTCCTTAGACGATGGGACTACCACGTGCTTGTCTCCCCAGTTGCATTCATGTTTTACTTTGTCGAGAATTTTTTGGGTGATTGTACACAGATACCTCGAGATAGGCTCACATCGGCCGGGTACCGAAGAAGTTTTTTCAACCTTAAAATCGATGACAGTTGAGCACCCTACCGGAACGAATTCCTCGGGGCGAGGCTTCGTCGCATCCTCTCCGCCGGCAGGTGGTGATGAAGAAGCGGCCTCTTTTGAGTGAGAAGCTTTTGAGTGAAAAGTTTGGATGAGGATGAAAGTTTGAATATTTATAGCCTAGTGATGACGGTTCAAAACCGGTAGTGGCCGACCAACTACTGACAGGCATTTAATGCCTTGGTAACTAGACCGACGGGACGTTTTTTACATACGTCATAATCGGGCTCGTCGCTGACATCATCATCCACCAAGTTGGAGTTCGGAAATTCATATCATTTCTCGTCATCTTCTTTCCGAGAAACGAGGGGACTATCTGTATATGGTCAAAATCGAGTTTGCCCTTCGTATGACTAATCGAGATGGGAACATGATGGACTGAGGTTCATCATTGTAATATCGAGCCATGATGTGAAGTTACGTTGTCGAGCTCGAGCCCCAGAGACCGATCAATATCGAGATCGGCCAAGACCGAGCTCGAGACCCAGAGATCGATCAATATCGAGATCGGTCAAGACTGATCTCGAGACCCAGAAACCGATCAAGATTGATATCGTCCAAGATCGAGATCGAGTCAAGAAATAAAAAAGTCGTTATAGCCACAATTGGGGGAGAATCTCGGCGGAAATCACGGCGCAAATCAAGGAGAGACTAATTAATTAATCTATCATGAGATCTCACTATGTATTTTTAATTATATCCAAAATAGGATTTCCCCATTATATTAAGGGTTATTATTATTTGTAGAAAGGAGGTTAGATCCATTGAGATTCATAGAACATAAAGCAATATACTATCCTTTTCTCCCTTTGATATTTAGTCATATTGTTCTTCTATCAATCACTCTCCATTCAATTTGAAGGTGATAAAACTTGAAGACTTAGGCTAACTAATTCATTCGGTTTGCATTCATTTCTTTTACAGCTAATTTCGATATTTATTTACTTATTTTTCCTAATTTGTACCAAATTATACCGCGTATCCTTAAAACTACGTATAAATTCAATTGTTACCCGTTTTTCGGGTAAACAATATGTTTTTTAAGAAAAAATTATACCATATGACATCTTTTTATTTTTCAAGAAAATTCCTAAACCAATGATGTCTTTAAGTTTAGTGATAGATTTAATTTGGACTCCAAAGAGTCTTTTAGGATAATGAGGAAAAGGTGGACTTGCGAGAAATTATTGAGAACATTAGAAACTTTGCAATACTAAGGCAAAGAGTAAGATGTAAAGAGATGCTCAGGGGAAATGATAGAGCTACCTACCGCTATTCCAGGGTAATGAAAAAAATTACTGTAATATTTTTTGCAAAAATAAAACTCAGTACGCTTGTGTTTAAATAATAAATATTAAATAACAGGGGCTAACAATCCCAAATATTTAGATTGTATTTGTCACTATATATTTTCTTACACGAATAACTATATATTTGACTTTCAAGAGATATTAATGCCGTAAATAGATCAATATGGAGTAACCAAGAAATCAAAAGGAAAAATACACCCAAAATATTAACTATAAAGAAAGTGTTAGATAAGATACGATCTCATTACATATTTCTATGATATAAATAGATATACTATCTAATTAACCCAACTAAATTACTTATATTTGCATTTTGACTTCAAGTATTAAACGATTTTTGCTTCTTCGTCTTTTCACTTCAATTGCTATATTAAAATATTCATATAAATGTCACACCTCCTTTTTTCCGAGGGATAGGGAGTTTTTCTAATTAAAGTTACATTATTCGAAATGGAATTATTTATTTAATTTTTTAGAGTCGTCACTTGGAATAATTTATAGCGTCCCAAGTCACCGGTTTATTTTAAATCCCAAATCGAGGAAATTTGACTCTTATTTATGGTCTGCAAACACAGAAGACTGGGTAAGGAATTTTGTTAACCCGGGAGAAGGTGCGAGGCACTCTCGAGTTCCGTGATTTTAGCACGGTCGCTCAACTATTATTAATTGGCCTAATTATCTGATTTATTACATGCTTAAAACCTATTGTGCATTTTTATTTTCTAACCGTTTTTAATATTTATGGAATTTGTTTGAACAAGTCGTGATATCGCGTACTCGTTTGTTTTTGTATACATTGCAAATCGCGCTACGTGAAACGCACCCGCGATTTACAACATGTTAATTTTTATTATATACCACGACTGTGCCACGGGAACCGTACCCATAACCGTAATGATTTAGTTACGCGCCTAACGCAAACTACGGTGTTTATAAGTTAACTAATTTTCCTGAGTTCGAACTTGTTGTGAGGCCGAGTGGTTATGGAAATTATTTGTTTTTGAGCAAGTGTAAGATTCGACAGTGAAGGTCTAAAGATGATCGTAATTAATTACTAAATCTTGAATTGGTGCAAGTCATTCAAAAGGGGTGTGCTTATTTGTGGCCAACCTACAAGATGGCTAACGAACGGATTTGTTGCTATTGGGTATTAAAAAGGCAATCGACTGAGGCCATGGTGAATAGCAATGACCTAGTGAATTCAGAGACCATTGGACTCTTTGAATTAGATTTACATGTTGGGCTATGGCCCAAATAACTCAGTTTCGGTCTTTAATTGAGACCATGCATGCCCAGATGTTGAATCTCCTTTGATCTCTAATTACCAATGATGAAACGAAATAATTGCTTAAACATTCATCATATTAATTTGAAACATTTTATCAAAAATAAATACTCAAGAACTAAAAGATGAACTACTCATACAACAGGAAACTCAAATTACAACTAAATGGCCTTTCAATTAAATTACAACCATAATAAGAACAAAATTACAGAATTATAACTGATTGAATTTACTGCACTTGATGAACTACTATAACAACTACAACCCACAATTTCATTAACGTGAAAGCTATGTTCCCATTCCGGCCTAGCCTGGGCTTGTTAACTTAATCAATCTGAATCCACAGCACTTCATTCACTTCATTACTATCTGATTTGGGCTCAAAATTTGTCCAGTAATGGATTTGATCAACTGGTGATCAAATCCAATGTCTTAAATCAACTGGTGATCAAATACTGTTTCAAACATACTATTACTACTTAAATGAATCTGGACCGTGTCTTAAATAGCAGTATCAATACACCCTACACTATTAACTCAAACAATGGTAGTTAAGACATAAAACACTTCAACAGAAAACATAGATGAGCACATCAGTGTAGATTTTAGAAAACTGTAACGACCTAAAACTTAACTACATAACATGGCTGGCAGAATTAGATTTGTACATGTTAAACACATAAGAACACACAATGAACTCTACTCAAAACAAATAGTAAACAACTACAATTACATTAAGTATTTCATTACTTCAAAACAAAACTACATTTATTGGAGGTCAAAGCAATACAATTAGTAGCAGCAAAGCAAAAGAAACAGAAAATAAATCTCTGAATTTGGGAGACCGCTAAACAAAGATTCCACCACAGCTTGATGATAACAGCAGCAAATAGCAGGGATTGAAGCTCGACTCAAACCCAGAAAACCAGACAATCTCAGTAATATAGGAAAAGAAAGCAGGAGATTAAGATGGATCCTAAATCTTCATTTTTTTGGTATTAAAATGGAATCCCATACTGTCTTTTGGAGAAGAAATCAGTATGAGAGCAGAAAAAATGAAAAAATCAAGAGTGAATTCTCTATCTTTTTGTGAGTGAATATGCAGATGATTAACGTCTGTGTGAAGGGTGTATATATGTTGAATGCTGAATGAAAGAGGGTTCTGTCAGGAAAGGAATATTCAACGTGAAAAGGGGAAAGATCAGAGAGGGAAGGGAATCATTTTGTAACTCAAATTGCCAGCTGTTACTTCTAGAAGCAGACTATCTGCTTAGGTCGGGGCCAAGTGCCATGGCCAAATGGCCCAAGACAGGCCCAAATCCGAATTCATGGAAGAAACCCAAAAACAGAAAAATCAAAAATAACAAAGCCATATCTTGAACTCTAAATCTAATCAACAATTTCACTAAATGCTAACTCTTAATTAACTAAATCAATTTATTAACTATTCTAAATGACCATGCAATCAAAAATTAGAACTTAATTAATCAATCAAAAAAGAAAAGAAAAAAGAAAAAGAAAAACACAATCAACAAACGGATAGGAAAGATGAGTGGATATACCCATTTAACCTTAAGAAACAACGATCGAAGCAACAATGGCGGACGAAGGCAGTGGCGAAATATGACCGGACTCCGGTGGCCAAGTGATGAGTCAAAAACTGCCATCAATAGATTGTTCTTATCAAGAGCAATCGACTGATGTCGATTTCGAACCCAAATGACCTAAAACAAAAATCAAACAGGGACGGCTAGGGTTTGATTTCCAGATCCGAAATTTAATGATTTAGACGGGGATTTTGGAGAAAGTGGTGGTGTATCGTGGAAAGATGCGAGATGAGGAGTGTAGGGTGTTAATTTGAGGGTGATTGGAGACGGGCCACCGGAGAAGGGTGTTGGGGCGGCTAGGATTTTAGAGAGAGAGGTGAGAGGGAATGAGGAAGATGATCTCTAGGGTTTAGGGGTGTTTGGACGGTTTTAAGGGGTGGGGAAGTGAGTTGCGAACCGTTGGATGCAATAAAATTAACGGCTGGGATTGGTTCGTGTTGAAACGGGCGTCGTTTGGTTGGGGTGTGGACTGGATCGGTTAGGGAAATTGGGCCGGGGCGAATTGGGTTTTGAGGGGCAATATGGGCCTACTGAAATGGTTTTGGCCCATATTCGGAACCAAACAAAAGCCTTTTTCTTTCTTTCTTTCTTTCTTTTTCATTTGGTTCTAAATCCTAATCCAATTAATTAAGCACCTAAATTAATTCCTAAATCAAATCTAATTTGCAAAACTTAATTATATATTTCTAAAATTTAATTAATTAATTTAAAACTAATGAAAGGAAATTAATAATTTAAGACTAAAAACTAAAAATATAAAATGCTCATGGTATTTTTGTGATTTTCATTTAATAATGCAACTAATAAACATAGTTAAATCCTAAAAATGCAAATAAAATATAAAATGCTATGCAATGAAGATTTTGAAAATTTTTGGTGTTTTCTTATAATTTTAAGATATTAAATATGCAACTAAATACAAATAATAATTGACAAGAAATTCTATGAAAAATTAAAACAATTAGAAAAGATTTATTTTTTGGATTTTATAGGAGTGTTTTTGGTGAGGAAAAAATTACGTGCTCACAATAAATAATTGATTAAATATTTACGTGCAAAGCACGTACATAGAGACTAGTATATTATATATTTGTATACGGGTGAAATCGAGCTCATGATACATCCTAACCTCCGATAAGATAAGTCAAACTCGAAACATGGCAATAAGGGACCGAAATCAAGCCAAAGTCCTACCAAACTAGAACAGGAGGGTATGATGCCTACCTTCGAGAATATCGAGGTCATGATCCTGGAATCGGTCCTAGCCTCGAGCGACTTCGAAGAACATTGTCAGACAATCCAGCATAGCCAATAGAAGGCCGAAATATCCGGGACCGGCCAAATATTGCGGTGAGGATTTCGACGCGTATCGATAAGAAGCCGGCAATCAGTGAATCAAAAGATTTTTTACCTTTTATAGAGTTGTACCTAAAATAGGACTCCCCTACTATATAAAGGGGGTCTAATAATTCATTTGGACATATTGTAACACGCACTCAGAAGTAATATATTACTATTTTCTCTCTCTTTAAGCTCTTGTTCTTTTTTGACTAACACCGGTCGTGGTGAGCGAGGCTCGAGAGCGATTATTCCATCAAAGCTAAAACTATCCAACTCGTGTAGTTTGAATTTGTTTTATCTTTATTTATTCAATAACAACTTAATTTATCGCTTTGTATCAAGTTAAACCGTGTGTCCTTAAAATCACCTATAAATTTAATTGTTATCCGATTTTGAGAGTAAACAATATCTTTCTCTCTATATCATTATAAAAGCATGAATGTTTTAGGTTAAATGTTAAACGATAAAAATATTCTTGAAACGTTGATTGACTTTTATACCATAAAATATTTATAGAATTTAGGGATATAGTTGTAAAATCACCCAAGGATGAAAGGTGGGAAAATATTAGACGAAGTGATCTCCCGTAATAATTCTATTTCAAGTCTGAAGATATCACTGTTATGGACAACGTGAAGGTCGTACAAAGGTTAACCGGATGCATAGCCGCCTTGGGACGATTTATTTTGAGTTTATCCAACAAGAGCCACCATTGTTTTTCACTATTGAATCAAGTGATATCCATCGAGCCCACTGTTGTTTCACACACCGAAGACAGACAAATAGTTGTACCTATATTTGGCAGTATCAGAGATAGAGGTAAGTGGAGTCTTGGTTCAGGAAGAAAAAGGTACGCAATTTCCAAATTACTATGTTAGCAGGACTCTAGATGAGGCCGAAACTAGATACCCTCACCAAGAAAAGTTGGCGCTCGCTTTGCTAAGCGCCTCTAGGAAGCTAAAATCGTACTTTCAATGTCACCCCATATGTGTCGTGACAACTTACCTATTGAGGAATGTAATGCATAAACCCGAGCTCTCAGGACGGTTGGCCAAATGGGCCTTAGAGATCAGTGGGTACGATATCAAATATCGGCCTCGGACCGCCATTAAGTCTCAAATTTTGGTAGACTTTGAGGCCGAATTTACACCGGCCCTAATACCCGAGGTTGAAAGAGAGTTGTTATTGAACTCGGGGACATCTTCGAGAATTTGGAACCTCTTTACAGACGGTGCTTCGAATGCGAAGGGTTCCGGATTTGGAATTGTATTGAAACTACCCGCAGGTAATATAGTTAGACAATCTATTAGGACTGTAAACTAACTAATAATGAAGCCGAGTACGAGGCCATGATTGTAGGTCTCGAACTGGACAAAATCTTGGGGCCAGAGGTGATTGAAGCTAAGTGCGATTCCCTCCTTGTGGTGAACCAAGTTAATAGGACATTCGAAGTTAGAGAGGAACGAATGCAAAGGTACCTGAATAAATTGCAGGTAATGTTACATCGGTTCAAAGAGTGGACTCCACAACACGTGCCTCGGGATAAAAATAGTGAGGCTGATGCCCTTGCTAACTTGGGATCGTCGATCGATGACAACGAGTTCAACTCGGGGGTGGTCGTGCAACTCATGAGATCGGTAGTGGAAAAAGGCCACGCTGAGATAAACTCAACAAGACTGACTTGGGACTGGAGAAACAAATATATAGAATATCTGAAGATCGAAAAACTGCCTTCGGACCCTAAGGAATTGAGGACTCTATGTACGAAGGCAGCCCGGTTTAGCATGTCCGAAGAAGGTACACTATTCTAGAGAACGTTCAATGGCCCACTCACAACATGTCTAGGACCCGGATACACCGAGTATGTTCTAAGGTAAATCCACTAAGGCACCTGTGGAAATCATTCAGGTGCCAAATCATTGGTTCGAAAAATAATTAGAGGTTACTATTGGATCGACATGGAAAAGGACACGAAGGAGTTCGTACGAAAATACGACGGATGTTAAAGGCATGCTCCGATGATTCATCATCCCGGCGAGCTACTGCATTCGGTCTTGTCCCCTTGGACATTCATAAAATGGGAAATGGACATCGTCGGCCCCCTCCCATGGGCACCCGGTAAGGCTCAATTTATATTATTTATGACTGACTATTTTTCTAAATGGGTGGAAGACTATGCGTTTGAGAAATTCAGGGAGAAGAAAGTCATTAATTTCATCTAGGACCACATAATATGTCGGTTCGGAATGCCGGCCGAGATCGTATGTGATAATGGGAAGCAGTTCATCGGCAGCAAAGTAAGCAAGTTTCTCGAAGATCATAAGATCAAAAGAATTTTGTCAATAACCTATCACCCTAGGGGAACGGGCAAGTGGAATCCACGAATAAAGTCATACTCCAGAACCTCAGAAAGAGATTGACCGACGCCAAAGGAAAATGGAAAGAAATGTTGCCTGAAGTCCTATGGGCATACTGTACGACCTCGAAGTCCAGTACCGGGGCCACCCTGTTCTCGTTACTTTACGATGCCGAAGCTCTAATACCGGTCGAAGTCGGAGAACCGAGTCTCAGGTTATGATATGCAACCGAAGAATAAAACAACGAGACCATGAATACGAGCCTGAAACTGTTAGACGAAAGGATGAAGTGGCCCTCGTGCGAATGTCGCCCAAAAATAAAGAATCAAGAGGTACTACAATCGGAGAGCCAACCTTAGACACTTCAATGTCGGGGAATTAGTGTTGAGGAAGGTCATATTAAACACTCGGAACCTGAACGAAGGAAAGTTGGGACCGAACTGGGAAGATCTGTATCAAATTATCGAGATCACCGGAAAAAGGGCCGTACAAACTCGGAGCAATGAACGGTGAACGACTACTGAACAACTGGAACGTAACTCACTTGAAACGGTATTACTGCTAAGGTACGACCCTTTTATTCCTTTTATTTATCTATATTTTGAACTAACGCTTGCAGGTAGTCATCAGATAACGATACAATTTTTAGGCCTGAAAGCACGCGTTACACTCTTTTTTCCTTAAACTGAATTTGTCCCAAATGGGTTTTCCGGCAAGGTTTTTAACGAGGCAGCAATGGATTGTGATAACTTAGAATCGAAGATTGGTTGTAAATAGTATTCGAGGCTTGTCTATGATCGACCTCGAACACTGGAGGGCATCACCCAGATAACGATTATGGCAAGGAAAGAAATTTTGTGCTCGAATAGTCTAGGTTCGATTGATAGGATTTATTGTAAGGGCCAAACGGTTGAATGAACCGTGACCACATAGACTGCTCGGGTCCGGACGCAAAATCTTGAACACATGTGTAACTTTGTATATTACGCACAAAATTGAAAGGAAGTTTCTACCTTGCGGATAAATATTTTGCCCATTGAAAATATATTTTTTCCTTTCTTAAATCTGATCCCCTACAGACATCGAGCCCAAGGGCCACCTCACTCGGGGACTGCCTCCCAAGGAAAATTCGGATAACCCGGTATAATGAATCCCCTGGGCATAAAGCTTATTTGGCAAACCCGAACTTTAAAGGCTACGGCCACTCCCATTCGAGAACGATTATCTCGGTTAAGCCCGGATGACTCGGGGTAACAAGCCCGCTGGGAAATACCCGAACTAGAAAGGCTACGACCATATTAAAATGGCTTGGAGACGTCCGATACCCATAACAAAAAACAAGGTCTTCAAAATTTCTAAACAGATTCGAAAGGCTACCCTCAGCAAAATTATAATCTAAAACGTTCTAAGTATTTTGGGGATATTTTGTGGTCATATCGTTCCCCAACGAATTGTAAACAAAATGATATTGAAAGAAAGATTTGTTCAAACCTTTGGGCAAGACCTAAATATTACATGCTAAGGCATTTCGATATCTTTGCAATCATAAAGAACAAAGCGAAAGGAAAAAAGCTTAAAAAATGTCGAAGGGAAAAAGGAGCCTTATATATATATATATATGAAAAGATATTTACAAAGGCCAAACGGCC